GGGGGGGGGGGGGGGGGGGTTCAACCTCCACTATGCCAAAATTCATCCCAGACAGTACACTTTGATGTTCAACAATTTTTTCTATCGTTGCGCGAGATGGCTCGAACTGCTTCCACTGGAGGTGCTTCAGGCACCCAGCAGCAAAATATTCAAAAAAAAGCTAAGCAAGATCGATTTATTGCGAACATTGCGTATTCCAGAGTATATCTAACATTCTCTTGCTATTTTTCAGGCAATAATTGCTTTCGTGTTCACCCTACAGGTTATCGCCGTTCGTACTTGCGACGAGCAGAATGATATTCATAATTTTTGAGAACTTTACGGTTTTCTGAATTCTATACAATGATTCTTCTGTTCTATTTACAGGCATCCACAGGCAATCTGCCCACACCCCTTCACTCCTTTTCTCCTTACTCGAGAATCTTTCAGGGCTTTAATTTCTACTCTGTGTTACTTTCTTGTATGTGCGATTATCTTAAGTTCATACTATTACCTGCTTGCTTCCACTTCCAATTATTCCTCCCGCATGTTATCTCTCCTGTTTTCCTCCAAGTAGGTGGGATGCGATGCAGAGAGCATATTTTGCTTCGTAGGGCTGTGGGCTTCAGTTGTGGGTTCTAGTTGTTTCAGGATCCTTCGGTTTGTTGAACCCCCTCGTTTGAAGTCCCCCTTGGTCTGCTCGCCCGGCCGGACGAATTCGTTCGTAACGGACTAAGTTGTCAGCAAGCCTCGGTTCTTCTGTCGCTTTGCGTTCTGGCTCAAGAATCAGGATCTTGCTGGGGACCCCTCATCTGCTTGGCAGGGGAAAGCAACCTTATTGTTCTCACAATGAAATGCCCTGGCTAATCTCTCGTTTCCATTGATTTGTGGGCATGCTAATCTCTCTGCTTATCTCATCGCTACTCTAGTTCTGACCTTTTTACCTTAACCATTTTACCTTGTTTTGTTGTTATGCGTTTCTCTTTTGCCTTGCTTTAGGCCAATTTTCCATAGTTTTCTAGCTACTCGTTTCCCTTTGTCTATGTGATTGGTGGGCACACCCTGGAGGTGTATTTAAATAAATGAATTTTCGTAAACTAAAGATTGCATACGGTAGTTTCATTACTTTTGATGAAAATTATTTGACACTTGAAAATTCTCTTCTTACCATAGTCCGTTTGATTCTTGTCTTTGAAAGTCAGGTTTTTACTTATATATGCCTGGAAAAATTTGTGATATGGACAAGGTTGGGGAGCCTTGAAGAGGAAAAAAGCTTAAAGCCCTAATATAATTCAGGAGTATTGCTAAAAGACTGTAACTAGTCACATTCATAGCTCGGATATATGTGGAGAAGGAGGAAAGCAGAACTGATCAGCATGCATTCTGTGTCAGATCTCGCCTCACCACCTAAGTCTTTCATCGTTCCGTTGTCAGCTGATGAGAATCAGACTCCAAATGGAGAATGGCAACATGACATGTAAATTCGCTAATGCCAAAAGTCGTTTTGTATTCAACAAATAAGAATATCGTATCCCCTTTAAAATTTGCTGTTTTGCATTCCGAGTTTTCGTTCTGGATTCATTTATTGCTACACAAACCATGAAAGAATAGAGGATACAGCCGTGACTTCGATCAATCCTATTTCCGTTATGCGCTCCGCATTCGACATCCATTCTATATCGTAGTAGCGGCATGTGGCCTATACAATGACTTGCGATAGCCAGCCAATACACAAGTAGGTGCTTTTATCGTCTCGGACCAATGCAGTAGGATAGACGGTTTGCTTGGCCTTGGCGTTTATCAAACCAGAATTCGATGTCTGGATCGATCATGCGTGCGTGACAATGCTCCACATCCAACTCCATCACCTCCGCCCCACGAAGATAATATGGTATTACAGTATCATAATTAATAATAATGTTTTAACACTATGACAGTATGATTTCTGAGAATATTGCACAAAAAACACAGCAAACCCAAAACTACATCTCACATAACGCTTGTCTTTGTCATCTCTGATGGTGTACATAGAAAAATATTCCTCTAACTTGTCGTAGAAATTAGGTATTGTGACGATTTCAGCTTTCTAAAATCACAATATCGATATCATCCCGAAAATATTTGAAGAAGCAACTCACATCTCTTCTAGACATCTCCGCAGATTTATCGAACAACATTTCGCTAAACTGTTCATGTTTAGTAAGCAAAATATTTTGTGTTCTAAGAAATTGCCTGTCTCTAAAGAAATGGAACACCAACACAGCAACAACAACAAACACATGATGAAAACCCATAAATAAGATGAATGCATCACGGTACATACTGCACAGTAATCATACTGCAGCCCGTGCAGTTTGTTTGGCTGATCGTATTGATGAGCTTACGTTTTTGCCTGCTTTTGTAAAGGTCAAAGGTGTCTGAACCTAGAAGTGTTCTACTTCTAAAGTTTTCATATCAAGCTGGAGCATCAGGAAATTCTGTGAAACCGCGTTTCACAATCATGTTTCAGGTACTTTATTCCTAGACGGACGAAGGGAAAACGATCAAATGGGAGGATACCTAAGGAGAGGGTCTACCGTCGGGACACCGTAACGGTTGAGGAGTAATCGTCTATACTCACCATACTTTTCGATTTGTTGGTCACCTTTCTGCTACCTCGTGTTTTCTTATGCTCATGTCTTTTGTACGCCTTATGAGTGTTCATGCCGTTGTTTCTCTCTTATTTATAAAGCAGTAACTTGGTGTGCCGATTTGTCGGTTTGTCTGTGGGTCGGTTGGTCGGTCTGTCCGTCCGCAAAACGTTGGGATTATAATAAATGTAACGATATGGAAAACCTAGCTCTACTCTACATTTCCTTGTAAAGCAGTAACTTCGTTGATAGGTTAATGGAGTCTGCGGAGTGAAGTGAGTGATAAGGAGTGAAGTGGGTACTTCCAAACTGTGATTTCGATCTGTATGTTATGTTATGTACCAGACTGGTGTCCCGGCATAAGCCGGGCAACCACTCTGGTTCATAACAAATCTAAGTAGTGATGTGTCGAATCGCTAGGGAGCGTTTGAGTCAATTCGAGGCGTGGAAATGGTAAAAAGTGCACCGATACTAAGAGGACATCGCATCCTTTACTTTTCTTTGTTATTTCATAGTATGAATCAGGTTTCGCAATTCACGTAATCCGTGTATGTCTTCGAATGGGCTAGTTTATTTTACACTATATTTCACTTAAACAGATTGGCTGCTTCGTGATTTCTCGCCTTTATCCGCCTGAAATAGATGTTGTATTGGTATTATGTATATGCGCGTCCTAAGAGCGGATGTGCTACGATTCTATCAAAGGGATAATCATGTCAATCCACACACGCAGCCTGCGATTCATGTCACTCCTTGCGATTGTCCTGCTGCCGCGCGAGTAAAACAATTGCATCATTATGGGAATTCAGGATAGAGCCGGAAGTTTTCCGTTTAAGGGTTTCATATCTGGTTACTTTTGAGTGTTCTGTTCGTATGTAGGCTTACACTTCAGTTATGCTTTCTGTGCTTTTGTTCTTCAGTGCTTCCTTTTTTCAATGCATATGCGAATGTTATGAAGAAGGAGCGCGCCCAGCTTTATTTGCTGTCACATTGAAATTTAGCATTATTCTTGTCGCCCAGCGATTCGCGGGTCGCATGTGTCTAACCTCATCCTCTTGGCGACAGAACCGCACGCTCCGCTCTGGAAGCTGGCGAACTCGTGAAGAATCCATTGCATAGACCTTGAAGTTTTCACCCACCGCTGCCCGAGTGCCCCCAACACTGCCTTGTTCGATCGCATATCCACGTATGCGATACCTTCGCCATATACACTGTTCGCGCTTCCGTTCTATTCGCAGTTCCGTTCTACTCGCAGTTTCATTCTAATAAACATTCGATATTCAATCTCTAGTTACCTAGCAAGGGCTCAGCACTTACTCTTTATTCCCAAATCTTCCAAAGAGCCGAGGGTTATTTGATTGCTAGATAGCGAATCGCTTGCTCCAATTAGAGAGCGTAGCGGGTCCCAGTCAGGGCAGATAGCCTACCTGGCAGGGACTGCCTTCCAAGTATTTAATAATCATTCGGACGAGACAGATGAAACCTTTCCACCACTGTCAGAGACAACATCAGGAACAACTAGCACATGTCATGTGCGGATTCGTCAATGTCTCGGTACAATCGAAACACATACAACACTCATATCGCGTAAGTAAAAAAAAATTTTCATTTACCACTCTTGTAGGGAGCTCGGGTACCCAGATACCTAGAGATTTAAATATGTGACAGAAGTGTTTAATAACGAGATTGGACGTACTCTTTCATGAGAAAACCAAGCTCAAGAGCACTGACGGAATAGATCGTTAGCGCAATGAGCTTATCTCCATGTTCCATATATAGCACTGACGCTGCATGTTCCATTTCATCTCGGGTCACTCCTTCAAGAAATGCAAGCGTAGTTGAAAGATCGTTGGGAAACAGCTCCGAAAATGGCCCTTCAAAAATAATCAATCAAACGCTTCATGTCACCGTTGGTTCCTACTTAGGGGCTTTCTGTACCTCTCCCTTCCGCAGATGGATCGACGCGGACTTGGTGCACAAATTTCTGAATATGCGATTTGCTATCGCTCATCTCACTTTGTCCCGATGTGCATCTACAGCCTGTACTGTTACTGAAAATCAAGCTACTTTGACAAATGGTTGGTTGCTGTAGATGAAGCCTTCATGACTCGGAAAAAGTTGACCTCTTGGTATCGAATATAAAGTGGCGCTCGAAGGTAATGAGTCGAGTGGTCCTGTTGCAACTACGTCGCTTTGCTTTGCGCGAATAGGTCACCTGATGCAATCCACTTGGATGTTAGGCCCTGTGGTCTTCATACCTAAGTTTACCCATATTCTTAGCGAAATCTGTACATGCGTTCCATCACTATAATACTTTCGACACTTTTCCACGTTCGTAAGCATGCCTTCCTTATTTCTAATGAATATGACCAGATTATGTGTATTTATCTATACCATTGAGCGTTTGCTGGTCTACTTGAAGTTTTGTGAGATATTGTTGAGGCGTTTGGGCGAGCATACCACATATACATATGCTACGCACTATTTCAGGCCCTGACGAAGGCGAAGCAGCCGAAACATTGGCCAAATAAATTGTCCAATGTATACGTCATTCTGCTTTTTGGAGATTGACCGTAATCCCAGGGGTTTCATTGCCCTACATTTATAGAAGGTTTCAGACAAAAATCCTGCAGTCTTCTAGAGAATCAAACGATTTTTCTTGTGAAGGATCACAGAAAGATGCGAACAGAAGATAGTATGCTCGGGCTACACTCGCACTATATTGAGGATGGATGAGACGTCCCATTCAGACACCAGGGTAATTTTTGACGAGTGATCAAAGGTAGGGGCTCCAGCGTTGCCCCTTTGAATAGCAGTTGATGAGGATTAAAGAAGTTGCCCCTAAATCACTCTCTCTTCTCGCATGAGAACGAAGCATTGCTTCTTAGATGTACATTAGCGCTCAAAAGTATTCGGCCAAGTTTAACTTTTTCTCAGTGTAGCAAATCGCATGATATTTTGATATGTAATGAAGCATATTTGACACTATCCAACACTATTTGACTGCAAAGCAGCAATGCCCACATAACTAAGGGGAAGGCGTTTTAGACTATGCTGAAATCAAGTTTGTGACGTCTGCAGTTATTCGGACCTTATGTACATTTTTATTCTCATCTGGGTTTGACATTAGCGCTCGTACGCTTCAGACATGGCGAAAAGGGAAGAAGTTCCAGGAGGCTATCATTTGTACTTACAGTTAATTTTTTTGTTTAAGCCCTCTAGGATGTCTGGAGCATGATCAGATTGCAGGTTAGTAGTGGTAAGTATTCACACTACACCCATGTTGCACATATTGAAATTTCGCATCATCAGATCCAGTAGGGAAGGAGTTATGACTGAAAAGTACAACTGAAGAAGCATTTCGCCNAATACCTTTGAGCGTACTGTATGTATAGGGCATAACTGGATCATGTAAAATCACCGAAATTGATAACAGCTGATATACGCTCACAAGGAGTTAGATTTTTGATTTCCTATCTCCCTATAGGATAAGATGGAGTGATAGAATCAGTTGATAAGAAATGAGTTCTGAGTGCAGATACAAGGACTGATCAAAGTCACAACCTTATAAAGATAGTGGAACCTGTTTGTTCCGTACTGTAAAGTTACGATAACTACGCTCCAAGGTTTGCGGGGGTCAATACGGGATTTCGAGAAGGACTATGAGTATGAACTCTTGATAGTGGTGCTATCGTGTATGCACAAAACTAGTAAATAACATTGAAAGCTTCAATTTATTTACCAGTCGCCGAATTATAAGAAGTCCATTTGTCGTCAGACCCACTGAAGGAGAAATTGTATATGTTATGCCCATTGCTGGGGTCTGGGGTCACAGATACAGATTTCATACGCCCTTCGAGAATTATGTGGTCAGAAAATGGCCATTTGTTACAGAATGTGGAACAAACGGTCAACAGTGCATCCCGGCTTCGTGATAGAAAGAGATGAAGCCAGGCCTGAACCTGGCGATTCAACGGTTTTCATTGATCTTCACCTGTAATGTACTGCAACTGAAGAGCCAAGTTTGCCACTTCGATCGGGTTGCTGTATTTCCATACAAAATTTCACCACTGATGCAATTAAAGTCGGACGAATTCCTTCCACAAACAATGTCCTTAAAAACTAAATTTTTCCTGGAAAGTATTCAGCCAACAGGCCAGCGATTCCACAGCGTTAGAATGCTCAACGAAGCATTTTAAGTATGTCAGTGAAGCTGAGAGATATGTAGGGAAGGGACTTAGATCAGAGAAACAAAACCTAATGTTCGAGAAGAAATAGTAGAGTCATCACAAGAAAATTTTATAGAATTGTTCCCCTTGGAGCGTACTTGTAATTCACGTAGGCAGCAACATCACAAGCTAGAACTACTGCAAGAAGAGCATACCTCGCCAGTTCACTGCAGTGTTCCGAGGAAGAAGAAATAGCCATTTCCTCGAACCCTCCAGTCCCGGGTATGGTTTGCAGTCTCCATATCCTTGGCTGAACTGAGCATATAAACAAACAGTCCCATAGACAACTATAACGAGAGCGTCTCTTACCCTGACCAAAATTCTTCTAGTTGCAAGAGCATAGAAGGCGCAAACTAAGCCAAGAAGGATGAGAACTTCGATGAAGATGAGGAACCATAAAGCGGCTTGAATATCACTAAAGTGAAGTGCGGTAGCTTTGCAAAAGTGAAATGATAGTAGTAGGGTAGCGAGGTACAGCCTACATAGCACTCTCTTTTCTGCTTCTGTGACTCCTTTTTCCTTTGGATTTCGTATTCCTTGATCTGCTGCGGTAATCCTGGTCATCACTCTAAATATACGCTTGAGGTTTGATAATTTTATTAATAATAATCGTCATTCAAAAAATCCTGTTCTTCAAAACAATGACCTCTTCAAGTCAGCTGAATGTAAAGAAGGGAAAAAGATCGCAGCGTTGCTCCGTTCCTTTTGTAATCCGAAGACACGGTACCGTTTTTAGAACAAATTAGAGCTTATCTGCATATATGGCTACTTCAACGTAAGTGATAAACACGTGTCCCGAAAACTTAGAAGAGGTGAGAAATGGGCAACTCGATGGATAGACACGAAGAACTCAAATCTTTTTCACTGCAAATTCTTTTCGCAACCGAATCTTCAATTGGTTGCTGACGAGGCAACATGGCTCGAATACGTTGGCGTATAGGGCGTACTTTACGGGCCGAATGCCATTGGTCCCAGCTCGGGTGGCGGAACTTCTTCCCGAAGTCCCACGGCCAGCGCCAGTGGTTCCACGGCGCCTGCCGTATCATTCCGCTGGGATTTCAAATCTTTCACTTCATAGCGAATCTGCGAACGAGTGCGGCGAGCGCGACAGCCTTCGTGGAGAAGGTACCAAACCCCCCCTCCCCATCCCAGACTCAGAGTCCAGCCGGCATTCTACGTTCTCGTAAAAGTATCAAATGCAAAGTTCTCGCTTGGTCTGTTTTCTTCACCCTTTTATTCAAGACTTTGCCTTTTATCCTTGTATAAAACACATTGTGTTGTTTAAAAAGAAGTTTTGATAGGGCTGACATTTTTTTTTGTTTTATTTTACAACTCTGCAAACAATGCAAGTCATCGCCAATAATAATAACCATCGTTAGTTATAAGATTGCCCCACCTAACGGGCAGGTCAGCGATTCCCTGATGACTGGGAGTCAAAGATTTCACCGACCACTTGTTCAAGGTGGTCGTAGTTGGCAAACTGTTTTTCCGCTAAGAAAGCTTCGAGGGAGTGGGACAAGCGGTAATCTGAGGGGGCAATATTACATGAATAGGGTGGATGAGAGTCTCCCAGTCTAGCTCCTTCAATTTTGCCCGGGCCTCTTCACTTATGAGAGGTCTACCGTTGTCATGGAATGAGTGCACAAAAGTTCGTTCAGGCCGTTTTCTCGATTGGCCTCTGCAAGTTTCTGCAACTGACCAGCATAACAAGGAGCGGGATCGGTATGGCCTTCCTTGAGCAGCTCGTAGAACAGTGTTGTATATGAGTACGAGAAGCAGCAAAGGAGAAACTTCTTGGAGTGGAGGCGGATTGGCTTGCGCCGGCGGCTGTTCTCCTAGCGGGAGCAAGTGGGTGCACTGCTTGCTGACGTAGTGGAGGATCCATCTTTGTCTCCAACGAATAGGCCTTCCAAAAACGCCTTGTGAAGTGGGCGAGAAGGAGAGACTAACAAAAGGATACCCGGATGCGCCTCATGCAATCGGTCAGGATATGACGTATCCATCGAGTCAGCAATTTTCTGTAACCGAGAGCCTGAAGGCGACCGACGACTATTGATTGGGCACACCCGAGTCTCGTCGAAAGACTGCGGTGTCCATCCGGATCCTCTTTGGTGGAAGACAAGGTCGTTGACGGCGACGAAGCGTTCCCCCCGAGGCTTGTTTTCGAAGCCCTTCCTTGAAGCGAGTGAACCAGCGATCAACGATCAACTAGCGGACTAGCGGTGGAAGTTTTGTTTTCCTCCCATGTGCTGCTGATGTTGCGGACGGTTGCCGTCGCTCCGGTGCCGCAAAGACACCCGTAGAAAATGATGTGTCGAACATGCGGAATTGACATCGTGATTTAAGCTCAAGAAGAAGCGCGCCTATAAGTACTCATCACAGCGAGGGTTTGTTCTACTGCACCGCATGGTATTTCATTTGTATCGATTAATAATCGAAAATTTTGGAACATTCAAAAAATCCTATCAAATCTTTTTGGTCAACCTAATGGTATACATAACCTAGTACACGTGTTTGTTAAAGGAGGAATTTCCACCTAAAATCGACCACGAAAATCGACGGAAATTCCCAAATGGCACATGAGCCGTTTTTCGGTTTCACCGGGAACCTATGTAATTCCTCAACCTCAACTTACGGTAGATTTTGTAGCTCTGTTTCGAGGGTAGTTCGAGCTGTCTTTCCTAGGCGCAGCTGAACTGGCCTCGTCTGAAACAAACAAGCACCTACTACATTTCTTTTCACAGTAAAAACAAAAGTTTGTCTAAGGCTATTCCTTAGAATGACTACTTCAATTTTGCTGTTAGAACTTCTGAAAGGTAAGTGGGTTGTGATAATTTCCCTACAATAACAGAACTATTTGTAATCAAATGAGCTCTTAGCTTTTTGGAGTCTTGCTCAAGTAGCTGCTAAGGATCTCGCTGAGTAGTACCCTAGTTGAATGCCATTTGTAATTTTCGGCTAAGAGTCGGGATGTATAACTTGAATGCATTAATTGGAGAGATTCTAACCAAATATACGGTGCAATGAGGGGAAATCACACTAAAGATGCCCAGAATTTCTTCCTCATGCTCAAAATGGGGGCAGGAACGAAGTCTGACTTCAATGATCATCTCAATGAATGGGAATCTTCTTCTTCTTCTCCTTAGCGTTAATCCCGCGCCGTCGCAGGGGGGACCTCGTGGTCGCTTGCCTTGAACCTCAGACTCCATTGCCTCCCTTTGCTCTGTGGTCTTCTTAGTACATGTCCGAACCATCGCAAACCTCTCCGATTCTCATCTTTAGCTGAACTGGAGATGCTTGCCTAGCCGTTCTGACGTCTTCATTTCTGATATGATCAAGTCGCATGCAGCCGCAGGCTCATCTGAGCATTCTCATTTCAGCGGAGTGGAGCTGCCTTCCATGAGTTTAATTACGAGTCATCACTCGTTGCCATAGAACATCGTGAGCCTTAACACTGTCCGATCCACTTTTCCTTTGAGAGTTCTGGAGCACTGACGGTTGTAGAGGATACCAATGAACTCATTCCACTTCATTCATGCCACGTTTATTCGGGAATTTACGGCCTGTTCCACGCCACCATCAGAGACTAGATCACTCCCCAGGTATCGCAAGTCCTACACCTTTTCGAAGGCTTCCACGCGATCGTCGATGATTGACTCCGTGCCCTCGTCGGAACTGAGGAATTTGGTCTTCTTCACGTCTAGCTGGAGTCCATTTTCAGCCATTTCTGAAGCTTGCCCTAGAGTTCTTCCTCGCTATCCGCTATCAGAGCGCTGTCATTAGCTTAAAGGATGGTCTTCTGTGGTCCATCCATGAGTTCTTCTGTCTATTGTTAGCAGGAAAAAGAACAGGCTCAGAGCTTTCTGGTGTACTCCATCAGTGAAATGTATTATTATATTGTTATTGTTTATTATTATATTATATTGTAATGTATGTAACGGTTCGGCCGTGTGGGGTGCGTATTGTTGTGGTGGGGCCATAGTTCATATTTCACCAGAAAGGTCAGGTGTTCTGGAACCTTTCGTTTTCGAAGCGCTCTTAAGAGGACTTGTCGCGGAAGACGGTCGAATGCCTTCCGCACATCGAGGAAGGCTAGCATGGTCTATGCTTTTTCGGTACTTTCCCATAAATTGTATGGCTATAAAATGGCATCGTTGTAGACTTTTCACGCATGAAGCCGAACTGCTGCTCTGAAATTGGGACCAATTCTCTCAATCTTGAGTCGACCAATCGCTCGGGCAGTTTCATTGTGTGAGCGGTCAAGCTGATCCCCCGGTAGTTGCAACACTCCGTCGCGTCACGTTTCCCTCCTGCTTGAAGATAGTACTGCTCCTCCACGCATCTAGGATTCTTTCTTCAGTGGTGACACTGTCATAGGACAGTGTTAAGGCCCACGATGCTCTATGGCAGCGAGCATTGGCGCGTAAGTAACCACTGAAATAAGTATGCTCAGATGGGCCTGCGGTTGGACGCGACTGGATTTGACCAGAAATGAAGATGTCAAGACGGCGATGCAAACAGCCCCAGTTCAGCTATAGATGGGAGAGCAGCGCTTGCGTTAGTTCGAACATGTACAAAGAAGACCGCAGCGCCATCCGATCAGGGAGGCAATGGAGTTCGTGGCTCGGGGCAAGCGACCACGAGGAGCCCCGAAGCTTGAACTCGTCTGCAACTCTCTTCTGTATCACTTTCTTCTTCTCCCTGACTTGTTCGAAGTCAGCGTTCCTCTTATCAGCTATCCGAGCGGTTGGTGAATGATTAGCGTTGATGAGATTTTTTTTCTTGCCCCTCAGTACCTTCTTTTAGGCTAATCTGGTCGCTTGTCCTGCATTCGGAGTCTAGGGCTATGCTATCCTTGTCGCATCACCCTAGTACCATTTTCCACATACATTTATGCCATCGCGAAGTTTGCGAATTTTTTGATTCAGTTTTCGTGTTTCCAAATCAGAATCAACTATTATATGTTTTCGAAGTGTGAGAGCATGATGATGTCAAATGGAGGCATAGAAAAATCGTAAAATGCACTTTCAGTGACAAGGGATTCTTTGGATCAGTTAGATCTACGTTCATATTCTTAGCAGTAAGCTGCTTAGTCGACCGCCATCATACTTCGGCTTTCGAAAAATGCAGTATGTCTTCGAGGGTGGGAAAGGTAGTGAGCAATGATTACCATATCATTGGCTATGAGTACGACTTATCCGCAACACTAGCTGGAATCATTTGAATCAGACTGCAGCATGATGTAGGCGGTTAGCATCATATGAGCGGATCAGGATAAATTGAAAAGCAGTATCCGGCATCATCCGAATGCACGAAATATCGAGTACGTGGAGCTTTGTACTAAGGCCTCACGATGTCCTATGTTTTCTTGACTTCCCCTGGATCAGAAACATGCCGGCTCCGACATATCTCATTTTCACATCCCTATACTATAATTTGAGATTTTTCTCGATGAATGCGGCAGTGGAAGCATTAACGTGATGTCAAAGAGGAAAGGTGTTTCGCAGCCCTCCTCACTTAACTGAAGATTGTAGTAAAGGCTGAAGTAGCGACAAGATTTGCATCACGACGGCAAACTCTATTGCGACAAAGGGAATGAAGAAGTCTGTCCACTTCCCATCTTTATGGCTATTGTCAAACGTTCCAAAAGTTTGGAAGACGAAAGACTCGAACAGTTCAATCCTAATCTATTCAAACTGATGCGCATAAAACAAGTATGTGCCATGCCAGCAACGACAGGAGCGAGTGCTGGGGCTCACAGTGCGATTGAACCTGTAATTGTAATTGAACACCTGACTCACCGGACATGATTCCAGAAAGTGAAACCTACTCGAGAAAGTTATCCACAGTGCCCTGAATGATAAAACTGTTTTCCTATTTCAACACATTACGAGCTCTGGAATGTTCTTCGCACACCTCTCCGGATCGCTTGAATACATTTGATTTTAGTTTCTTAAAGGCACAGTTCACGATAGAAACGGATTCTGAGATTGCCCCACAGGATAAATTTAAGGCCCCATGTATTCCATATCTGGCCCTATTAGGTCGGAAAACGGCTTAGTTAGGGAGTTATAAAGGCTCAAAGATTGGCTCGTGAGTATCCCCGAACTAAATCCACCGGCACTGTAGAGGCTACACCGATCACAAGAGAGCCCATGCAGGAAGTTCAAACAACTTGTCATGACCGCACCTCTCGCTGCCGGCATAGAACTCAGTGGCCATAAATTGTTTGACGCTACGGCTCTATCCGTTCCTTATGGATAACAAGTTTGGAAGAATCCGTGGAGAGCGAAGAGAGAGGACCCCTTTCATTTTTCTCTACAAATCCCTTGAATACTTAGCGTCTGTTTGATTTTTCTTCTTGAGCGAACTGTAACCTCGGCTGCACTCCACCCCGCTCTACAGCACCTGGCTTTCGGATGTTTGGCGACTGGATTCTCGCCATTTGAAATTTTAGTATTCCGCACGCCGTTAAGCTGCTCGGAGACGTTTAATGATAGTCACAAAGTTTGACAAATAATGGCAGTATTACTGTCTCGGACGAGACTCCAACCCGCGCTCGCGGTTTCCACGTTCTTACTCTAGAAGCTATTTTTTATAAGTTCTCAAGAACCCTTGAAATCTCACCTCGGCTTTTTGTCTACTTTGAGTGCTGTATAATAAATGTATTAGTTGTGTACGGTTGGGAAGTCATGAACTTCTAGTCGACCGCTTTTGCAACTCTTACAGTGAATGAGGCTTTCGCTTTCCAAAAACCTCTAAGACAGACTGCTCATGTTCTAGAGCTGCTACATGAAAATGTTTTTTATAACGGCGATTGAAAATAGTTGAAAGTTCCCAGAACCAAGGTCACAAAAAGTTTCGCTGTAGCCATAATATTTTTCTTCATTTTTTTTCAAGAGACAAAGAACGTACACTATCGGAGACGTTTTGCCTGGTCAACTTTTTCTGATAAGGAGTCGAGCAGTATGGCGATTGCTCATAGATCGTTAATGGTGTGGATATTCGTTGCCACCATCTCTGCTCTCTCTCTAAGTCCCTTCAAAAAAACCTCTTTATACAATGAGCAAGCACTTTCGAAGCTTTCGACTGATGAGCTTTCGTGGTCATATGCCTTCTTTTGACTTAAAATATATTGTTTTGTAAGCGTGGTTATTATGTCTTAACTGGTTATATGCAAACAATGCAATTAATTTTGAGGTCTGAAGATGGAAATGAATAGTGAAGGCTTAATAGTATATTACGGTGTTCGGATAGGAACTGCATAGAAGTCTAGGTTTTTCATAAATGTTTCAAGAGTTCCAAGAAAAATCATGCTAAATAGAGGATCCGATAGGCTTCAACAGCGGAATGGTTTCATTTTTTTTTATTTATTTAGTGTGCGTCGACCGACGCGCTTCTATAAAAGATCAGTACTAGCCTGGGATTAAACAGGGTCTGATTGCGTAGTAACAACAAACTTATGCATATCAAATCTAGATCCAAACGAACATAACGGATAGTAACAAAAAATAAAAAAATAAAAAAAAACAATTCTCTGAAGCACTTGATAGAGCTGGACAATTATAGAAAAAAAGATAGGAAAATATAGAAAAAAAAGATAGGAAAAAGATTGAGCCCATTTGTGTCCAAACGAATGAGAAAAAAAAAGGCACTTGCTGCTTGGATGGTGGTTAACTGCTCGTCCCTAGCCCAATACGTCCCGGCCACACCGTGTCAGCTCCGGCCCGCCTGCGCGTGAGTTCGGACACGATACCCCCCTGCACCAGTCGGCTATGGTGCCCAGTCGCCACTTCAGGGGTCATAGGGGCTTACCGCAACTTCGAGACACGGGTATACCGACCTCCCNTTCGAACTTCTGACCATGCGTGTGAGGTAGTGCGCCACTTGCCACTACACCACCTCCGCCCTTCATCCACTATAGGATGTAAGCGAGGAAGAAAGAATCGGATATAGTACACCCTCTCGAGCGGGTCACATCAATATAAAGAATTCCAAGTAATTTTCCAAATTTAAATCAGTGCTATGGCAGTGATTACAGTCGATAAGCCAAGTGCGATTGAATTGATAGAACTCAAAAGCATCGTAAAGGCCTTGTCGAGGGCGCGCCTACAAGCTCTCTCCACACATTTACTAAACTCATGAAAAAACAGTATTGTAAAGCATCTAGCTCCCTACTTTTCCGTAGGGCAAAATGGCTTCAGATGTTACCAGCTGAAATCCTCGCTTCGCAAAATAGCAACGTTTTCACAGATAGGTTGAAGAAAGTTGGATTGTTATCACACCTTGGAATACAAGATTTTTGAAGACTCCTTCGAAACACGTGAAAATTATCCATTCAGCATTTCGCTTGTAGTTTCTTCTTGCTGATGCTTTTTGCAATGATCTTTAAACCTAGTTGACTTCGTGGTGAAACAAAGGGCCCGCTCTAGACTACCGATTCCTTTCTTTTGCGTCATATTTTCTTCTTTGTTGTTTCATTGTTCTGTTTTGTTGGAATCTATTGTAGATGAACATGATTCCTTTGATCAGGTAGTAGGACTCCAGTGAGGAGGATTATCATGAGTCATGAGTCCTCCACACTATTACTGGACTTCCTTACTTCATTGCATTTTCTCATCTCACAACCTGATGGCTCTTCTCAGCCTGTGATAATCGTAATGGCGGGTCGGAGGCTGAACTGTTAGGGATAGAGAATACCTAACATCCGAAAATTCGGTCTTGATTCCATAGGTATGCCAGTGTTTGTCTGGGAGTGGCATTATCCCTAGCGCCTTCCACCTAATGGAATCAAATGTGGATGATTTTCAATTATCATACAGCAAACAGCTCGTAACACCTATCTAATCTTCTTGTAGTGACTACTTCAGTTCATTCTTTTTCTTTTTAATGCACCTGACTTATGATCTTTCTACCTTTTGTTTTTGAACCATACTTTCCTTTATTGACTGCAAGTTGTTGAGTTAATGTGGTCGCGGAATTGTAGTTAGCCCACCTAAGCGTGCACCAAATAAATAAATAAATAAGGCAATTATTCGTAGCTAATGTAAATGAGAGACAGACGCAACAGCATTTTAGGATTTAGTTTTCTATTCAAACCCAATAATTCACTGACTCTCAACAGTTTTATCAACTGAAAGCTAAGGAATAATGATTGGAAAAGGAGTTGGTATCGAAACATCGAAGATACATACCGAGGATGTTGCCACAAACGGAAGAGGAACTGGTAGCAGATCGGTTGAAATTTATAATGCGGTGAGTAAACTCTCCAGGAAAGTTTCATTTTGCGATGTTTCTTCTGCAGCTACCGATTCTCAATTCAGACCAATCCTACTAAAATCAACATACCAAATCTTGACAATGGAAAACGACTTCGCGTTGTAATTGCCCCAACAAAAAAAGCCACTCATTTCTATGCAAGTTGTTTAGTAAATTTCAATTTATTTACTGCGTTGGCAAGAAAATTCTTCGGCAAAAACATTTTTGTAAACAATACCAACACGATGGCGTAACGATAGATTTCCAGGGCATTCCACGGGCAATCAACACATGAGTAAACTTAGACACACTCGTGTTCTTTTGCAACTTCACAATCACTGATTGGACAGCTTCAGATTCGTGTCTCTATCTTCTACTAGGTACTATCCAGGCATGCCAAAGGAAAAACGCAAGTGTAGCCGTTGAAGTTATCAACAACCTACTCGCTAGCAATGCTGTTCACAGATCAACGGTCGACAGTTGGTTGAATCGCTTCACTGCAGGAGATACTAGCCTCAAAAGTAATTCAAATATCGCCTCTTAGTTTTGTCGGGCATGAAGGGATCCATCGTCCACAGAAGGACAGCGTACGTTGAAAGTTCGCTTCAGGCACCCGTCCCAATCTCGGCGGTCTCGCTTGATTCTAGGCAGCTCATCAATCAGTAAGACTTGAACTTCTTTCGTTCTGCCGCCTGTATCCCTTTCCAATTGTAAACGCTCTAGGTCCGGGGGGAGGTATGAGATATATATAGTTGGGCATTATATTCATTTGGAAAACTTTAGAAGAGAGATTTAATGGTTTTTTCGTGTAAAGACACCCTCACCGAGCTTATATTTCAACTAGCAAAAAGCACTCGTAGTTCCAGATCGATCTGTGCGCCCCATCGATCATTGGGTTACATTTCAACCCACGTCTCAATGTAAGCTAGTTTTCTTTGACTCCAACCTTTACTATGTCCTTGCTCTGCTCTCATCACTGTGTAGTACCAAAATGCTTACAAATACTTATACGGTACCAGAGTGACGTTGAGCGCATGGCGCAACTGACAAGGATTGCACAACTTGGTCAATTCCCATCCAGCCCAAGTGGGCACGGTTTCAACTGGGAGCGATTTCGATTAGCTTCCAAAATCGATTTCGATTGACTTCCAAACCTAAAAATCTTTTGAAATCAAAGAAATTTTTTAACTATTCGAAGAAAAAATTGAAGCGGTGAATTAGTGAAGTTATATCCCGAAGTGAACTGGGCATAAACCATTTTTCTGAGGCTGAGATTGTGATGCGTCTGATAGCGTGAGCCTGCCTAAGTAGAAAAACGATAGCGATCAAATATGGCCCTTGCCATGTACTGGTGATAGAATTCTGACTCATTGGCGACGGACAGGGAAAGCCGAACCGTCGGCAAAGAAGCCGGCTTGCTTTCCCATCCATCAACATTGAGTCGCAGGTCTAAAGGACAGACAACGGTGGACAAAAAGTAGTTAAGCGATTCTGGCTCTGACCCAGAAGGTGAACTAGTTGCTGGGTCGGGAGGAACCGAAACATGATGAGGTCTCGGGTGGCTCTGCATAATTGTAAGATTTCTGACTTCTTACGCATTCTTCATTGGAAAGCTATCACCTGCAGTTTCAAAACGCAAATTTCGTGAAAAACAATCAAAACTGAGAAATAGATTGTGAGGAGAAGGATCTCTTCAGGTATTCTGTCCATAACCTGTTTTTATTCAAGGAGAATACTATTGTATTCAACACAAAATATCATGGCTACTGGATGCACGAGGAAAGAACATCTATGTCTTTCCACAGCGAACGATACACTTTGGAATTCATTTGGAATGATGGCCACATTCAGGTGACAAGGAGGAATGCTACAATTCAGTCAGAGTGAACCCGCTCTCATTTTTCTTTCTAGGTTCTTCTCAATGGAAGGNATACTATTGTATTCAACACAAAATATCATGGCTACTGGATGCACGAGGAAAGAACATCTATGTCTTTCCACAGCGAACGAGTCTACACTTTGGAATTCATTTCGAATGATGGCCACATTCAGGTGACAGGGAGGAATGCTACAATTCAGTCAGAGTGAACCCGCTCTCATTTTTCTTTCTAGGTTCTTCTCAATGGAAGGGTTCTTTACAAGTTCGCTCAACGTTTTCACATTACTCCTCACATTAACACTGTTGAAATTGGTGGAGATGTGCATGTTCATTCGGTCCAATTCTTTTAGATACAAGTTTGCTTTCCCTAGTTCTATGATATCAGATGAAGCATTTATGAATTTACGAGGGATTCCTTCTAGTCGCTATGAAGATGTAATTACAACATTGTTCTTAGTGTTTACACACCTCCATTGGCCCTTGAAGGCATACGCTCATTCGGAATTTCTTGGGATCAAGACCTTGTTTTGTCCGGCCTTATGTACTGCCACGTTATGGGCGTGCATGGGGCTCTTTTCCTACTTGTAGGTCGCCTTTGCTTCTTCGCCCACGCAGGAGAGACTTTCTAAAGGGGACCGTTACTGAAGACGAGAGCTGGGTCCTTTATGTGACCCATAAGCGCATAAGCAACATCGCGAATAGATGCCTGGTGAAGAATCACCTCCAAGAAAGTCGAGAAATGGACAACATCAGAGGAAGGTTTTGCTATGTTGTTGTTGGGATTTCCAAGGCATGCTCTATTTCGAATCACTTCCTGAGAATACCACCGTGGCCGCAGAGATTTACGCATTCCAGCTACAGAGTGTGGGCGACATTATACGAAGGAGCGTCCACGGTGAGATAATGTTTCTCTCCTTCACGACAACGCTCGACCCATATTGCGAAACTGTCTCGTCATGAAATCGCCGAACTTGGATGGGAAGCGCTGCCTCATCCTCTTTATTCGCCAGATCTTGCTCCGTCCGATTACCATTTGTTTCTTGCTTTAAAGCATCATCTTCCCGATGGTAAATTTAATGGTCGCTCGGAATTAGAAACTGAGGTTTCCAGGTTTTTCGAGTCGCGGCTGCCACAGTTCTGGGTTTCAGGAATAGAAAAACTGGTGGATCACTGTACATATGTTGTGGACCACGATGGAGACTACAGAACTAATTGAGATCCTCTTTTAATGAAAATAAGACGTTCTGAAATAAAGATGGAAAATGGGTCAAAACCTTACAGAACCTAACACATATATGATGTATGTGGCTACTTCCAAGTGAGGGATGTGTATTCCGAAAACGTGGAAGAACTTGAGGAATAGATAATTCGATGGAATCGGTCAAAGAACGAATATAATAATAAAATAATAATAATATTATTATTAGTAATATAATATTTTATGGAATTTTCTTTACTTTTCATTTTCCTTCACTGACGGTTGCTGGCTTACTGACGAAGGCGGTTGGTTCCCTTTCCCAATTTCTCAGTCAAGACAGAAAGGAGCATTTGCAGTATCTACCCATTTTTATCTCTTCAACGTCCACGTCTGCCTGCCTTCTCACCGTCATTCTCATTAGAAATTACTGAAGTTTAGATGGGACCTCCGACCGCATAAATCATATAGCCCAAATTTAGACCAAGAGACTATTATTTATCCGGATCTCTGCAGAATTCGATTTTTGGGAAATCATTTTATTTTCTGCAAGACTACGCCATAGAATACTTCATCGATTTGGCCGGAAACCCTCTATGAAAGTGGGACAATGAAACTTCTGAAATGTTGGCGAACCATTATGAAGCAGAAAAGAATGTCCAATGTCTGACTGTTCGCTGAGAAATTCTCGTTAAAGTGGACCTCAAAAAACCGGCCGAAACGTTCCGTATAGCACTATCAATTTGATCTTTACCATTTCCGGGATACAAATGGATCGTACCTCTTCTCCTGCGGTAATAAAATGTTTCGTTTTCAAAAGGGCTCTATATTGGTCGAAGTCAGGAAGTATAATATAACTTGAACGCTAACTTGTTGGGAGTCAGACTTTTTGTTCATTACGAACGTATAGGACGAAAGATTCGAAAAATTTATGAAGCAGTACCTAGTTTATTTAAACTATGTACACATGAAAAATGAGTTTTATGTCAGCAACGAGAGGCGCAAAGTCTGATGCTACTGCTGTATTTATTGTTGGATGCCTAACTCACCGGACATTTTATCCGGATTCACCGGATTTTGTGGAACCCGCTCGAGTAAGGAATCTACAGTTCTTGGGTGATTACTCTGCTTTTCTATTTCAACATCTTACTGGCCCTGAATTGCTACTAGTTTATCTATCCGGATCTTCTGAATGCCTTCATTTGATTGAATTCCCTTTCTCGAACCAACTATATCCTCGACTACACTCCACCCTTCTGCTCCACCTCGCTTTTATCGGTTTAACAACTGGGTTGTCGCCTTTTAGATTTTACCCTTTGGAACACCGTTTAGGGTTTTGTGGAAACATAATAATGAATGTCACTCGAAAATTATGAGCAGAATTTCGCCATCAGGCAAGGCTCGAATCCGTACTTGTGAGATCTGGGTATCCCTCACTCTACCGAGACTTCTATTGTCCTCGGTTAATCAATGGCTTCAATGACTTGAAGAGGACAAAGTCGTGGAAGCACGTTTGTGTTCGAGCCTCGTGAGGCAAATTTTTTCCCATTTTTGGCCAACTTTATGAGACTTTCGCGTCACGTCATACCTCGAAGCAATAGCTTTGAACAGAAGCGACAACTCAAAATTTTGGAACTTTTTTGGAAGCGGACCTCCCTCTTCTCCTGCAGTCTTTTTCTGTTTTTTGTTTGAGTTGATTTTTATTATGATTGAGAAGAGGCGCCAGTACATACACATGGTAGCGATTCTTCCCATTTTCGTCTATTTTACAAAAGACGCTACTTGGATCTGTCGCTTCTCGGTGAATGTTTGAAAAGTAGACCCTCATTATCGCCAGAGATGTTACTTGGAAAAGTTTCTAATAGCACGGGTATAAAACTAATTTTTGAAAGGACTTTTTCAAATTCTACCATAGTTTTTTGCTGTAAAGTTGCATGTTTTCACATCCAGAACTACAACGAAGTTTTTATTATCTGAGTCAGCAAAAAATGTATTTTCAAAGGACAAAAGACAGAACAGAAGACAAAGAACACATTATCAGAGACATTATCGCCAGTATCCTTTACTTCTTCATGTTATGTAGGTGAATCAGTTTTGTAATTCGTCGACAGTTAGAAGGCCATGAACATCTAGTCAAACTGCTCCGAGCACTCATAGTTATTGGGAGCTTCGCATTTTCAAAAATCCCAACGAATCAAGTTTTAGAAGTGTTACTTGGAAAATTTCCTAATAACATAAGCATGGAAATGATGTTTTGTGACGTTTTTTTAAAAATTTTATTATAATTTTGCTATAAGTTGCAAGCTTTCACATCCAGAACTACAACAGAGTTTTTATTTTCTAAGTCAGCAAAAAATGTGTTTTCAAAGGGACAAAGAACACATATTATCAAAGACATTTTGCCCAGTCAACTTTTTTTCAGATAAGAAGTCAGGCAATATTGCGATTGTTCACTGATCATTACTATCTGTTTTTCACAGCACATCTATGCGCTCTTTAGCTTACATCAAAACTTTTTTCCTCATCACGAATGAGTACTTCCAAAGCTCTTGAATTCTTCCTCTATTGATGTTGCTCTATTGACGAGCTCTCAAAGTCCTATGCCTTCTTCTGAAGTCAAAAATCTTATTTTTGATAAATGCGGTAGTTATGCTGTAACTGGTTACATAGAACCATTACAACTGATTTTGATGTCTGAAGAAGAAATGGACGCTGAAAGTTCAAAAATATAATGCAATATTCTTCTAGTATCTTCCAAGAACTTCACAGAAGTCTAGATCTTTCTGAATGTCACGGAAATCCCAATGAAAATACCATCAAATAACGCTACTCACTTGTACACTCGCAACATAGCCGGAGATTTCATGATAACGCAATTGCTTGACTATCTTCGACCTTCTTGTTTTCGAATTTGAAGCAAAAAATGTGTACAGAACTGCGACGTGTGGGGGGAGGGCTGGAGGGGGGTTATGATCGAGTACTCGCTTCAGAAAAGCTTCTTCCATAGGCTTCAGTAGCGGATTGGCAGCAATCAAACTTGTAAAAAAAGTACGTGTCGAATATGAAGAGACAGTTCGGCCATTGTAGGGTTAAATGATAAAGAAGAGGGAGTTGGATATGATAGTGAGTAGTGGGTGATGTCACCTCATAGCAATTCCGTCAAAATTTCCAGAACATCCAGACTACCGTGAAGTATGTGGGCTATACTTCCCGAAATATCTAATAGATTGAATCGGAAGAGCTGTGAAAAGCCTCATTCAGAGCAAATTCTAAAAAACTTTAGGAGACATAGCAGCATTTTAATATTTCTGATCCGCATTTGGACTAATTGACTCTTTGACCGAAGAAGTTATATCTACGAAAAGTTAAGGAATAATGATTGGAAAAGGAGTTGGTGTCGGAACATTGGAAATCCACACAGAAGGTGTTGATGGTGTGAGTTTGTTTAAGCTTGATTCTCACGAAAATATTTTCTAACATAGCCTTATTGTTAGGGATTCGGTATCGGAAGAGGAACTGGTAGCAGATCGGTTGAAATTTATAATGCGGTGAGTAAACTCTTT